CCCCAAAACCCCAAAACCCCAAAACCCCAAAACCCCAAAACCCCTATTTAGTTACTAAGATACTTATAAACATTAATAATTTATTTTTAATTCCAATGAGCCGACAATATGGGGATCAAATAAGCAGACAGAATAATCGTCTGAACATTCAGAACATAGCTAATCAATTATTAAGATGTAACCCGAGTTATGCTGGACAACCTTATAGAAATTTTCCTCCAATAAATGGTGCAATGGGACATCCATTTATAATGAATGAATATGCTTACAGAAATTTGATCAATAATCATCCTGAGATGGCAAAATATTACATGTTTCCCACCTTTCCGGTATTCCATAGGGGGTATTTCTAATGGAACCAGTCAATGGCCTCAGGAGATAAAGGATACTGATAGCGAGATTGGGAAAAAGCCTGCGCTTAACAATAATGACTGCCAAGGGAATCAAACCTTACTTGACTCGTTACAAAAATGAAATCAAGAAATTCTGCCAAAGAATTCAAACAAATTTAGGCACAAAGATCCAAGCCCAGATGTAGAGGTAATTGAAAATTTTAATGACCAGGGTGACACACATTCTTGTGCAAGAGATGGATCTGAAAAGGCAATTCTCCTTGTAGAGGAAGGTGTTAAAGAAACCAAACTTCCTAAATAATAAGTCCACTGATTTCTTTGAAACTAGTCAAAAATACCAAACCGAAGCTTGAAACAAAGAGAAATCATCAAGCCAAAGGAAGAGGAGAAATCGAAAAGCTGCTAGAAAGAATGAAAATTACACTAATAATACTGACATTCGGGATATGTTCCCAGTTTGCAGAAAGACTTATATTGAAGATAAAAATTTCAGATTTAATAACCATCAGAGCAGCACTATTTCTTCAGTAGATAGGACCCCAAATACGCTTAAGAACGTCTGCCAAATAACACCAGCTCCATCAACAATTGCTGAAAGTAATAAGGATAGCAATTGAATTGTAATAGAATCATCTGAAGAAATCGGATCTGATGTGGAAATCATGACTATTACCCGAACAGAATATGATTGGGACATCGAAGGATACATTCCTCCAAAAATAGGTAAAAATCATCAAATCCTAAGCCTACCTCGCTGAAAATAGCCGAACAAAAGAGAACCTACTAAAAGATAAAATGCCGTTTATTCTTTGTTTTGATGCTACAAAAGGGGTTCAGCAGTCTACAAGCTCTGGCTGTGCACAGAGTAGTGATCCGTACACCAAATTTATTGAGCGATGCAGGACCTCTCTCAAAAAGAGCTCTTCTAAGAGAAAGCCTCCTTTTGATGAAGAACTCTTCCTCAGATATCTGGATTCAAAGAACTATAATTTTGAACAGGCTTACCAAGGTATTATGAGGAACAGAAGAGATTTTAGGAATTTACGAGATTTTGGAGTCAGGAAGATCAAGAATTTGCAAAGGAACAAAACAATCGAGAAAAGAGAGAAGGAAATGCTTGAGCAGGAGATAGAAGAGGATAATATAATTTTCAATAAATAGTTGGAAAATTGGGGTTTTGGGGTTTTGGGGTTTTGGGGTTTTGGGG